CAGATTCTGTGTCTCCCTCTCTCTCTGACCCTCCCCTGTTCATGCTCTCTCTCTCTCTCTCTCAGAAATAAATAAAAAATATAAAAAATAAATAAATTAATTAATTTTTAAAAAGGAAGATCACCCTCCATTATCTGAATGTGCCCAACATAATTAGAAAGGTTCTTAAAAGTTGAAGAGGGGTATAGAAGAGGAAATCAGAGTAATATAATGTGAAAACAACTCAACCTGCCATTACTGGCTTTGAAAATGGAGAGAGTTGCAAGCCAAGGTACATGGACCTGAAAAGTTGGAAAAACAAAGATTCTCCCTAGAACCTCCACAGAGGAACATAGCATTGGTGAAACTTTGATCTTAGGTCAGTGTACTCTGCATCAGACTTTCAATGCACAGAGTTGTAAGATTACAGATTGTGTTGTTTCAAGCCACTAAGTATGTGGTAACTTGTTATAGCAGATATAGAAAACAAATACAGAAACCATTAGTACAAAGCAAGTCTATCCTACTTGGGTAGCCATCCTCCACTCATTCTAGATTCTCAGGTTGAAGCCCAGGCACACAGTTCATCCCACTTGAACATGGGGTCCCAGTCTTCCCCATGTACCCTCCCTGGAGGTTGACATGGGCTCACATCTACATTGCCTATTCCCTCTAGACTTAACTGACCTCTAAAGTTCCCTTCATAATTCTAAGGATGGTTATGCAAATTATGACTGATCAACCTGCAGAACATCCTTGTAGATGTGCAAAATGAGCCCAACTTTTCATTTATTCATTGAAAAAATACTTATTGTTGAGCCAAATGATCTCTAAATTTCCTATAGACTCTAAGACTCTAAAAGAAGCACTCATACAAGTGAAAAGATAATAGTTATTACTTCTGAGGGCAAATGTTCAAGAAAATACTTATGTAAATGTGTTTGCTATTACTTTTATTTTTCTATCATGTTGGCCTTGTCTAGAAATCTTAGAAACTGTAGATCAAAAGCCCTAAGTAGCATGTAGTTCATTGCTTTGCCTTTGTAGGTACTCACCTTAATATTAAAAAGCCCCTTGTTTGGTTGAAAGGTAAATGAGTTTCCCAGAGAACCAGCCCTTTATCGCAGGCATAGTGCAGCAGTAGAGTTCCAGACCCCACATCAGAGGGCTCAGGTTCAGAACAACCCTGGCTCTGTTTCTCACAAGCTATACACGGGGACATGCTAATTCACCTCTCACTGCCTCTATTTCCCATTGATAAGATGAGTAAAATGATATCGACTTTATAGGATACTTGTAACGTTAACTACATTAATACATACAAGGAGCTTAGAGCCCTGCCCGACATTGTGCCATTGATCACTGTCACACATTTTTACTCCTTCGGTTCTCTCATCATCAGGGTCTTGGAAGTCCTGAAAACTTTTGGTCTTGCCAAAGGCCATGGCTTTCCAAAAACAAATACATTGGTATACTTATTCCCAATAGCCATCCAAATATGAAATCCATGTTTGGAAAACTTCATGATGTTTCTTTTATGCTGCAAAACTCCCCTTAATTAAGGTTTAAAATAAGTTTCCCCAAAGGTTTTAAAGCATAGATCACTCAAAATTACCTCTCCTAAGCTATTTTACAAAATTCCCAAGGGGAGAAATTCCTCAAAGTATACAAGGCAGTCTATCAATGTTTTACAAACTGGGATGTGTTTTAAAATGTAAATTCTCAGTCCTCATTCGAGATTTAATAAATTGGAATGGAGGCCCATAAATTTGAATATTAAGAAACATATTATATATAGTATATTGTTTTTATGCATGCAAAGTTTAAGAAACATTGCCTTAGAAATCTTTGATTTAGAAGCTACCCTCATTTTATTATGCTATATAATTCTGCAGGTAAAGACAACTCTAGAAAAAGGCAAGGCTTCACTGGACTGTATTACCATCTTGTAAGATTTTTTTTAAATGAATCACCCCTCTGCTTTCTCAAGAAAGAGAAATAGAAAGACCTCGCATACTGAGCCAAGTGACTTATTAACAGAGAAAAGCATTATTACCTCCTAGCTCAGACACCACTGGATGAATTAATCCTAAGAACACAATTACATGTGGTTTTAACAGGAGACACTGAGTTATGAGACTCTAGATTCTAATATTAGAGTGTCTGAAATGCATTCACTTGTGATAAGAATATTGAAAATGCAAGTTGTTGCTGAATGCATTCCTTATTAATTTTCCTTCAACACGTGATATAATTAACTGACAATCATCACCTCTTAAAACAAGAGGAACATCGCCTCAGCAAGTTTGTTGTGAAATAAAAGGGTGACGTGTCAAAAATGTGCTAGGAATAGAAGAGGTGACATCATCTGTGGTGTGGTGATGAGCTTTTCTTGCATACCTCCAAAAAAGGAAAAGAAAACTCATGTTTTGGTACACAATGCCAAGTTTTAATACTTTTCGTCTTTATTGGTTTTTATTTTTTTTTTTACTGTGATAATTAACGTTCAACCACAAATATCAAAGGAAAATATTTGGGGACACGTGTTTTCACGTGGCTAACTTTTCACTTCTGTAAAGTGTGAGTGGTAGCCCACTGAGGCAGCATCCTCTGCTTTCCTCTTTCAAAGACATCCAGACTCAATCTCTAGCCTCTGAGGTTAAAGCCCAGAAAACTGCATTTTTAACTATCATCCCTAGTGATTCCTGCACACATTAAATTTGAGAACCACTTCTTTGAGTATATAAAATGGAATTGAAACTTAATGATGTATGTTCTCCTTATTTTTGAAGTACTTTAAAACTATCATAATAGTAAACTCCATTAACAGAAATTCAGATTAACACAAGATACCCCATTTTACAAGAAATCAAGTCTAAGACTATAGTAAGAATCAATAAATATTTGCCAAATAAATGACTAGAAATAACTAATAACATGAAGAAATGTAATTGAGACAAGGAGTTATGAATTATTTGACTCTACCAGTATCAAAAAGATAAATCATTAAAGCTGCTGTATCATCTGTATTAAACTTGTATTCACAGTCCAAAGTAACCTACAAACTTATGGATCTCAATAAGATTCTTCATTTTTTTCTCACTTGTTCGGGGAGGGGAAGATTATGATATATTCAACCAGAAGCAAAAATAAAATATAAATCACACCAACAAACCTTTGCAATTTTTTCTGTTCCTATATCTTTGTTTCGACTTTTTTAGATTTTTTTCTTGATGCAGGTGTTATTAGTATCCATTTACTTGAGCTCTTCATGGATAGGGCTGCTTGTCTATGGTCAGGGGTTAGTCACTGGTCCCATAACTCATGAGTAGAGTTCACTGATAATGCAGGTAGGAATCCTCCGACTAGCAACTGTTCCCACAACACTGGTTTGTCCTAGTTTGACTAGCAGCTCCTCCCACAACACTGGTTTGAGAAACGACACTTGCTTCCACCTAATGCCAACAGCAGTGCTCGCATCACAGCCCCTATCTAGCACCCAAACGAGGAAATGAGATATCTACGCATTTTTTGCATTTTGAAATACAAAAATATTTTCAAATTATAGAAAAAAAATTTTTAATTTTTTTTTTAATTTATGTTTTAGAGACAGAGAGAGAGCACGCGAGCAGGGGAGGGTCAGAGAGAGAGGGAGACACAAAATCCAAAGATAGGCTCCAGGTTCTGAGCTGTCAGCACAGAGACTTACGTGAGGCTCAAACCCACAAACTGTGAGATCATGACTTGAGCCAAAGTCGGATGCTTAACTGACTGAGCCACCCAGGCTCCCCAAATTATAGAAAATTTAAAACATGAAAAAAATTAATCATTTTGACATTATCCTATACACTTATCACAATCACATATGAATCTATTTGTAATTATTAATTATATTTTCTCAGTTAAAAGTAAGTCATATTTTTCATATTTATATTTAATAGTTGTATAATGTTCCTTCAAATGGACAAACCACAGTCTACCTAAACTGTCCCTATAGTTAGACACTTACATTGTTTCTAAAGTCTTACTATCAGGGCACCTGGGTGGCTCAGTTGGTTAAGCACCTAACTCTTGGTTTCAGCTCAGGTCATGATTTCATGATTTGTGAGTTTGAGACCCACACTAGGCTCCATGTTGATAGTGCAGAGCCTGCTTTGAATTCTTTCTCTCCCTCTCTCTCTGCCTCTCCCCTGCTTGTTCTCTCTCTCTCTCTCAAAATAAATAAAAACATTTTAAGTCTTACTATCATAAATCATGTTTTGATGAATATTTGTGGTGTTTTCTATATTTTGAATTATTACCTTGGCACAGATTCCCAGTTCTGGGATTAATAAAGCAAAAGTATAATATTTTTATTGATTTTTGGAAAAGGTATAACAGTTTAAAAAGCCCCAACAAAGGTATTAATAGTTTACTTTTTCACAGTATCCTTGTCAAAACTGGATGTACTTCTTTGTTTTTGCTAATTAAATAAAAAAGCAGTCCCTTTGCTGATACTGTGCTCTGCAGCCCTTTGTTGTTTTTTTCTCCAGCTATATTTACAGTAAAGCTCTTTGAAAACTAGAACTAGGAAAGCTGCAAATGAGCAGAATCTCAGTAAAAGAATGGATGCCCAAAACAATTACAACCAGCTGGTGAAGAAGGCTGGGAAGATACCAGAATAACTGCAGAAAGAGGAAGATGCAGACTGTGTGGAAACAGAATGAGTTCAGTGTCTGGAGCTCCACAACGGCCAAGTGGCCACAGGGCTGGGGTTTGGGAAGGAAGGCAGAGAACCAACATTGTTGACCTACCGTATGAACTAACACATGCACCAGCAACCATGCTAGATACTCTGGAGACAATACATGATTTCATAGAGGCAATAGTGCCGCACACAACTGTGCTGGGTTAAACAGCATCCCTCCAAAATTTCTTGTCCACTCAGAAGTTCACAATGTGACCTTGTTTGGAAACAGTGTCTTTGCGGATGTAATTAGTTAAGTTCAAGCCATACTGGCTCTTTCCTCTGGGCTGCCAACATGACATCTAGACTGAAGAAGACTGGGAAACTTCGAGGCCACGTAAGCCATGGCCACAGCTGCATCAGCAAGCACCGGAAACATCCAGGAGGCCGAGGTAATGGCAGCATGCATCACCACAGGATCAAGTTTGACAAATATCCAGGTTACTTTGGAAAAACGGGTATAAGGCATTACCACTTAAAAAGGAACCAGAGCTTATGCCCGACTGTCAACCTTGATAAACTGTGGACCTTGGTCAGTGAGCAGTCACAGGTAAAGGCTGCCAAAAACAAGCCTGGAGCTGCTCCTGTCATTGAGGTGGTAAGATCAGGCTACGACAAAGTTTTGGGAAAGGAAAAGCTCTGCAAACAGCCTGTCATCGTGAAGGCCAGACCCTTCAGCAGAAGAGCTAAGAAGATTAAGGTTGTGGGGGAACCCGTGTCCTGGTAGCTTGAAGTCACATGAAGGGAGGTTCATTAAATACTAGCAAGTGCTTAAAAAAAAAATCAGGCCATACTACGTTAGAGTGAACCCCAAAACCAATGACTAACATCCTTATGGAAAGGCCATGTGAAGACACAGAAACAGATCAACACACTTTGGAAAGAACATGCGGCACCGAGTCAGAGACAGCAGTGATATTTTATTCTGGATTTACAGATGAAAACAAAGTTCAGAGAGATTCAGTGTCCTCTAAATGCCTGTAAGTAGCAGAGCCAGGATTCAAACTGAAGCAGCCTGACTCCAACCTGTGCTTCCTTCTACATTTTGCTGCTTCACAGGAACCTTTGGTTCGAAGCCTGGTTGTATCACTAGTTTGCTGTGTGGGCTTGAGAAGTGCACATAATCTCTTTTGGCCTTAGTTCACTGTGTGTAAAACAAAGTTACTAGGGTTGTTAACTTCTTTTTTCATTAAAAACATTTTTTTAAGTTTATTTATTTTGAGATAGAGCATGCATAAACACACAAGAGGAGGAAGGGCAGACAGAGGGGGAGAGGGAATCCTAAGCAGGCTCTGTGCTTTCTGCACAGAGCCAGACACAGAGTTCAATCTCACAAACCATGAGGTCATGACCTGAGCCGAAATCAAGAGTCGGATACTTAACCTACTGAGCCAGCCAGGTGCCCCTGAGGCAGTTGATTTCTGAGGTCCTTCTTCCTCTACAGCATTCTGCAAGGTAGCTGCCCACCTACAACTCTAATCCTATTAGTACCTCCAGTGAGTGAGGCTCAAGGAGCCTGGAGAATCCTTGCCCGTGGCTCCACCAAAGGCATTTCCTATACTCAATCCAGGTCCACAACAGATTTATACGAAAGGACCTACAAGAAAGAAGCCTTGAGATCCTTAATACCATGGAGTTTGAGTCAGAAACCTCCTCATATTAGAGGCCACATTATATCTTATTAAAGAAACAGCTTAAGATAAAAGTCAGCACGCTCAGAGCAGAACACTCCGCAACCAACTCTCTTTTTTCATATCTTTGACTTCAGTGATGGGTTTTGCAAATAGAATGCCATTTCTGTATTAGGCTTCATAGCACATTCCCATGCTCTAGAATTATAAACACTTTATACTAGACTCACTACTTGTCTCCAAACTGTAAGGAACAGCCATTATGAATGGTTTCAAATCCTCTGCACCAAACTATTTAGTATCTCTCTCTCTTTTCAGTGAGAAATAAAAGAATAGCAATAACAGTTTTGAATTACAAAGTGTCTGTTGTATACCAATGAATGAGCCCTACACATCTAGCATCTCATTCAACCCTCAGAACTCTGACACTATAGTTGCTGTTTTTATTCTCATGTTTTCTAGGATGGATCTGAGGACTAAGAAGTCCAAGGCTATTGAGTCATTTAATATACGCTTATTAAACTTCTCTATATACCAGGCACGAGGGCTAAAAAGAACAAGGACATGGACGTTAAGTAACAATTTTGATTAAATATATACCCACCAAAGATAAAATCTGATGGGGCGCCTGGGTGGCTCAGTCGGTTAAGCGACCAACTTTGGCTCAGGTCATGATCTCATGGTTCATGGGTTCAAGCCCCGTGCTGGGCTCTGGGCTGACAGCTCATAGCTTGGAGCCTGTTTCAGATTCTATGTCTCCCTCTCTCTCTGACCCTCTGCTGCTCACGTTCTCTCTCTCTCTCTCTCTCTCTCTCAGAAATAATAATAAAAAAAAGAATAAAAAAAGAAATAAATAAAACATTAAAAAAAGAAATGAAAAAGAAAAGAAAAATCTGGAAAAGTGTGTCACAAAATATTCAGGGCTATAGTATTTGTATAAAGGGTGACTTTTATCTTCTACTTTGTTCTTCGATATTTCTACCATGAATCAATTATATCTATAATCATTAAATCATTGTTTTAAAGACAGAATCTCTGCCTTCAAGGGATTTATAGTGAGAGGAAGCAGACAGTATTAACAGCTTGCTCAGACTAACTGCAGCTCATAAGTGATGAAGCAAACTCTAACCTAGGGCTGTCAGAAATCCAAATTCCAGTTTAACTTTCCTACCCTCTACTACCTCTAGTGACATATTCATTTGCCTGGAGGTCTATTTATATTTACTTTGCTGTTGAAATTAAGTTATAGACTTCATTGGACAATGGCAATAGTGCAGTCAGAAAGATGTGACTCAATGTTGCTGCTGGCCCTCCCTCCTTTGCTTCTCTACCCACAGATCTTTGTACCCAAGGAAGTGCAGAGGTGGTGCCTGTGAGCATTTTATCTGATATCCTGGCCCCCTAAAGAGGTATTTCATGTGCAATTAAGTGCTTCTAAAACACTCATCACACAAATTATATTTTACCTGCCCCATCACTTAAATCTGAAATACACAACATATTCCTTAATGTTAACTATGCCATCCTAAGACTAGTTGGTGAAAGAAAAGTTCAAAAGAGCTCCAAACTCTTTCTCCTTATCTAATTTATTCATCTGCAAAAAAGTTTTCAGTGAGATCCTCTCAAAATCTGTCCTACATACCCACTGAGCCATGGGATTGGAGTTTTGATATATGTCTGCCTATGACTGATTTAATTTCTAGTCCTACAGCAATAGTCACCCGGGGATAATTAGAATTATTTTGATTTTTCTAACTTTATTAATGTTTTTGTCTCCGTTCTTATAATTAGGTTAGGGATCATGGCCAATATGGCTGCATTCCTGACAGTTGTTGTAGTTCTGAGCACAGAGTGAGTAATGGGTAAACACTGACCAACAGATTAAGTTATTATTGCAATTAGGCTTAAGGGATTTTTTTAATCTCAAAGATAGTAAAAGATAATTATTTTCCTCCTATAAACCATACAATGATTAACTCTTAATCTTGCAGTTATGTAGCAACAGATTCTCCCAAATTCCCTGCTTTACTTTTCTGATATGTTTCCCTGCCCTTCCTTTACTTGGAATTCTGAACTGCTTAGTGGAAAAAGCAAGAGTAGCATAAACATGATGCAGAATCCATTTTGGACTATTGTGTTTTCCTGTCCTCACAAAGCTCTTTCTCTATCCCATGCAGCTTCTGTATAAAATATTACTTGTCATTGAAAGTCTGTGTCAATTAGAGTCACTGTCCTCAAAACTGAGATGTGATGCAAGAGTCTAACAAAAACACGTATGGCTTAGACCAGAGGTTATGGCGCAATGTGAGTTCACTTCATGACACCACAGCATGGCTCCCCCTGCACAGTGAGGACCTGCTGATTTGTTTTCCTTTCTTATTCACAAAAAGTATGTTCCTAAAGGGAAAGGAGATGAGAAACAGTCAGCAATGGGGGAAATGGGGAACAGAACGGGGCAGCAAGAGAGGGATCATCACCTGTGACAAACACCTGACTCGGGATTTGATCGAACTCACCATAAGAATACCTCACGATGAAAACTGAACTCACTATGGAAAGATCTGCACCACCCTGCCCTGGGCTATGGTCTAAGCACAATGCAGAGTGCTGAATTTTGCTGGGGAAGGTCTGAGAAAGATAGGTGAGGGAAAAAAATTGAGATAAACATTTGAGATAAAGCCCCCATTCAGATGCCAAGTGATGCCCATCCACTGGAGTCCACCGTACAGCCCAAGACGCAGGCTTCCAGAGGAACCAATGCATCCTACAGTTGGGCACCAAAACAAGTTAAAAAGGAAAGAGTACAAGGAAAGAGATCTATAAGAAAGAAAGTGGGATATTGAATTCATTCACAAAATGGAGCTTTTTCCCGCTGATCCATGATTAAAGGGTGAAGAGATTTACAATGAGAGAGAGATCTGGTTTTCTGACCTAAGTATGGCATCAGAGGGGAATATCTAGCTGGAATCCATGGAAAAGGTTTCCTCTCATTCAATAAGGAATGTTTTCAGGTTATTGTTTCTATTTATAAGTTGAATTATTTGAAATGTTATGTACCTTAAATGAGAGAGAGAACTCATAGCCTATAGGAAAAAACATTAAATGCTATTTTAAGACCAATGATAATACAAACTCAGATCCATTCTAAAGCAGCTCTTTAAATCACAGGCATTTTCAAAGTCAAGCAGTACACTGAGGCACACTTCCATGGTGATAAAACGAGTATTTTCACTTTTATAGAATAAATGTGCTTGGCAAATTTGACACAAAACAAAATATTGTAGGACAATTCTATCTTCCCAGAGACTTGTATATTTAAATCTCACATTTAACATTTCACATTTTAAAATGTCTTTTAGTGAACTCAGTTAAAAATGACGCTAAAAAGAGATTTAGGTGACAGAATCTAAAAATCAAAGTCCAAAACAGGATCATACCCAAGGGCAGCCACATCCTTCCTCTACCCATCCCCAACCTTTCATTTGTAGGTTTTCTCTGATTTACCTCCTGTTTCTTTGCCTCATGCTTTTTTTTTTTTAATTTTTTCTTAAAACATTCTATGTTTCAACTCATGATAAGTCTTGGTTTTTTTTTTTTTTTTGAAAGTGTATTTATTTTGAGAGAGACAGAGAGGGCAAGTGGGGTAGGGGCAGTGTGAGAGGGGGACAGAGGAGCCAAAGAGGACTCCACACTGACTCCAGGCGGCCCAATGCAGGACTCGAACTTGTGAGTGCCAAGATCATGACCTGAGCCAAAGTCGGATGCTCAACAAACTGAGCCACTCAAGTGCCCCTTTGTCTTTTCTAACCCTCATCTTTCCCTACAAATCCCTTTGTACCACCCTTAATTCATAAAACCTGCCCAGACTTGGGAATCTCAATGGTGAGTCTTGTCTGGAGCACCTTATGTAACATAGATTATATTTATATGCTGTATATACTATGCTGTATTTATATATAGTATCATATTTATATATAATTATATATGATATACAATCCCATCCCAGTGGTGGGTGCTGCTTCCCAACACAACATATTCTAGACTCCATTTAAGTTTCCAAATTGTGTAAAATAAGCTAACTATCTGACTTATCATA